GCGAACCTGACTATATTTTTTTCGACAATAGAATTCAAACACATTATTTATTTCAAGCAATAATTTTCAAATATAGCAAAGACAAACCTACTAAAAAACTGAAATGAAACCTCATTACTGATTACTCTGCGGTCTTCTGATAAAGTGAATTAAAAATATATAAATAAAAGCTCAGAACGCTTTTATTAGTTAGGGCGTAAATTTAATTTAAAAATACTTACACGTCTAGTTAAATACAGCGATTGCCGAGAGATATAAAAGCGGCATACTTGTAAATATAGCAAATATTTTTAAAATGTTATTACAACGAAACATGGCACTTTTGACAAGGGTTACATTTCTATCATATCATGTTTTGGATAAGTAACACAAACAAAACAAATCAGTGAACTTACATAAATAAAATAAAATGAGAAAGGATGTAGATAAGTCGTTAAAGAGGGGAAGACACATCGACAAAAATAACATTTTATGAAGTTGTCCTTCAGGTATTATGAATAAATGCGTATTAAAACTATTAAGTAGCTTTCTCCTTAATATCCCTTAAAAGTATGTCATATTGCATTTATTGTGAGTGAAATATTGCTGTTATGAAATGTCACAAGATTTAGGTCAACGTACGGTTGTAGAAAAAAAAATAATTCATATCAAATCTCAAATCATTATGTTCCCAGAAATTGTTCCAAATTTAACTGTGGACAAATGTCGTATAGTGCGTCGCCGTCTCATCACGAGCGGAGGCCGGGGCAAATAAATTATTGGCACCGGAAGTGACGTCCCGAGCGCGCTCCAATTTTACGCAGTTCACTACGACGAGGCGAGCATCGCTACATCAGCACTGCATCTAAAAAATACAAAAGTAGTTTTTAAATGTGTCGAAAAAAGAAAATCACGGAATGTCATATTGAATCCCAAATCACAGGAAATAAAAATTACACAGGCCGAATTATAGAACATTGAAATTCAAATCAACTTTCAATCACTCCGTATAATGATCAGAACCGGATGCTCTACCATTTAATTAGTGCAAAGGTTAGGAGTGGAACAAAAAATACAATATTCTCTATAAATGTTTATGTCCTGAATAATTACAGTGTAAGTTATTTATACGCCGCTTTGACAGTCCTGGATGAGGTGCCCCATGTTGTACAGATTTATGGACTGTTTTCAGTGTTTTTATCTAAAAAAGATTGTTTATCTGGCACTTCCGTCGCCTGCCGCGGCCGATACGCTCGCTAACGCTTTATTGTTTACACTTAATGCAATTCAAAGCAGGGAATTCCTCAGTAAATTGTATTTTTAAACGGAGTCAGTTGGAGTCGGGCATACTGCGTGAATATCGATTGCTTCGGCTTATTTCATGATCACGATGCTTTTTTGCGATCGATATTACGCTAGTGCCATACATAATGCAGCCTTTTAGGCGCCGACCGTTGGGCTAGGTGCGGCCTAGTGTTTAAATTCTGTGGAGGTTTCACTGATCGATTCTTGGTATTCTCAGCCGATTTCTTTTTCGTTCGGACAAAAACAGACAGGCAAGTTTTAACTCTGATCTGTTCTAAGATATATTAAAAAATATTAACTAAAATTCGGTACCTAATGTAACTAAATTTCATCCCGCGCTACTTACCGAGTAAATAACTGATAAACTTAATTTTATTGAATTAATTTATATATAAATGTATGTATGTGTACACAATGACACAAATATTCACAATGACTGTCTCCAAAATATTTGCTTCTGTCTGCATTTGAATTCACCACCTCGGGTTCTGGAACAAAATTATCTTATATTTTTAAATCAATTCATAAATGTAAATAATTAAAGATGGCTATTAAACTTTGGTAAAATAATAATCTTTTAAATGTTTTATTTGATTTATTAACTTTATTTATTCACAAATGAAGACTTCTAATAACTTTAATTTTAATGAACTATGACGTCAGGTAAACGTTCATTTCTATCGGGAGATTGTCAGTAGACAATATCCCGACCTCGTGTTTATTTCCTCAGCGCATTTATTCAAATATGGAAAACTCATTTCCCGCTCGATTTCCCGCCGCAGCCACACACTGGATCGTTAATTACGTTCCGCTGGAAACATTTAGCACCGTCACACTCAAGTTTTATAGCGAATTTCTATGTTATTGCTCCGCCTAATTGGTATTACGTTAGCGCCGTTAGCACATCGATGCATTCGCTTGCGAATACGAAACATCTGCGAAACAGGGTTGTCACCTTTAAAGAAACAAAATTCGTACATTCGGACTGTCATGAGATATCGGGACGGGACGGATCGCAACCCTGAATGCGAAACATGTGCATCTGTATAACGTTTTTCGCAGTTGGCTGCGAAACTGTACTGATAAGAACGCAGCTATGTCATCGAGCTAATTTCGCAAATGTTACACATTCTCATGCGAGCGCGTTGTGTACTAACGGCGTAAGTCGGCACAATGTCGCGTTACTCACATGTCTCTATTTCAGAACAACCGTAATATTTAAAAAATATATCAAAATCATAGTAAAATAACATAATTTCTGAATACGGTATGGTTGCAATCTCACTTACTACTTTTCGTACGAATTAAGATGACACCGGATAGACTATTCTATTTCTCTGAAAGCTAAAATTTCGTCTATTCGAAAATTTCCTAAATTTCAGGACAAGTAGAATGGGCCCTCAGGTGTCATGTTTATCCATTCGAGTTATTTGCTCTTACACCTATTTTTTTATTAATTTTGTACAGTTAAAAAGCGGCAACACAACATAATGTCTTCTAATTATTTCTTTTCAATGAAATTAGATTAAATTAACATTTATATAATATTATAAATGCAGAATATTTATTTTATACCATAGATAAACGATTTTTTTTTAATCAATACCGTATTCAAATACGAGTGAACATTACTTGACTCCATCATGCTTACATAAAAAAATCGGCGTCACATCTTCCGACGCGTCGAAATCGCTTCCTCCGGTAGACAATGGCCCTCTGTATCCGGTAGCACACGTGCTCAGGTACCTATTATCCCATCCCCGGCCCCTTCTACCTTTGTGACCCACCCCGAAGTAACTTGACCCGATTTTGGCGAAACTACGCCCTCTAGCTCGTGCCCTCCCACCGAATCTTATCTGGTTCGAGATAGAAAATGATACCTCAATACATCTGTCTCAATTTATTTGTTCCTTTGTCAACATCCTGCTGCTCGAATGTTCATTCGAAGCGTTCAGAGATTGTCATTTGTTACCAGCATTCAACGAGATTAGGCCAGAATGTTTTCGTGGACCTTTAGCAAACTTTTTCCTATAGAGATAGATTTTCTGAATTAGTCTTAAATTCATTTTAATTTGAATAAGCTCAATTTTTCCATAGCTCCATTTCATACCAATCCTATAACATATAATAGAAAATTTTAAACTTGCTTGTTCAACGAGTAGAGTCAATCGTCACTAGTCAAATAGGTACATTGTTTGCTTTCATTATGTTGTAGGTACGAGCCCGCACTATTCCAATTTTAAATTCAAGTTATTTCCAAGTCTCGCGGTCACTATCAAACAATAGGAATCAACGTCAAGGCCACGCATGCGTCATAATTATTATTGTAAATGCCATGATTTAGCTTGTTTGTATGTATGTGGCGATGGCGAACTGTTGATATAATACCATAGACAAAACGTACTTATCTAATAATGAAATATATTCTCAAAAATTGGTTTAATTACAAATATTATACACTTGTTTATATATATATATAAATATTTCTCTGCAGAAAATTCGACAAATCTTCCTACTTATTTTGTGCACATTTTTCACGCTTTCATAACGCTCGTATTGTACAATAAGTCAGCATTATTTTGATAGTATCAAAATAAAATCCCTTTTCAGACAAAATAACTCGAGTTTTACGATTTCGCATTTTAGAAATTATTTTGATTGCATTCATATTTTCCCGCATATACCTATGTAGGTAAATTTTATATAGTATGGAGCATTCCATACTATTAACAGCATATTGGTAAATTTTAAATTACAAAAAGGAAATAATACATTATGTAATTTAAAAATATGTATTTGTCTCTATCATGTCTTTGTGGCTAATTAAATAGCAATGAATACTTAAACTAACCCAATAAATAACTAAATGTATTGTACACCTTAAAAGGAAAACCATGTATCATTAAAGTTCTTGTACTCACAGAGTGTTCGTTGAAGTTGTTTTAGTAAAACAATTAGCATATTTTTTCCCAAATTTAGTCATGAAACTAATATTATGTACCTACTATTAACTACATAAATCCAATGACCCAGTTCATTTATTTAAATACTAATTGATTGGATATATTTTTACACTATTATATTACATGTATATATTCTTAAAGAGATTTTTTTTTATGTCGTAGAACTGTTTTAGTTTATACCTATATAACCATGCAGTAACGGGAAAACTGGTTAAACTCGTGTTCTAATTTTATATCTAACTGATATTAAAATAATTATTTATTTTGCTAAGACCATATGATATACGTGGGAATTACACGAATAAGAGTAAGAAGTGTCTGAAAAGAGAATACATAATATTATTGTTGATAAAATTAATGCGTGTTATTTAGTTCTTGGCACATATCTTGCATATTGGAAAGAACACCTTCATTCAGGAATAGCAGCGCTAATTTTCATGATACCATCATCATGGGGGTTAGCAAAAAAATCAACGGTCGCGCAACAGTTGGTGGCGGCAGGTGGCGCGGCAGGTCGCGAGCCCGTAGCGACTCGGCTCGCGTCGGTTCCCCTCGTAACCTCTCGGCTAATGTTTTCCACGGCCGCCCTCTCGGTCCGCCCGAAAGCTCAGTCTGTGTTTAGGCGCTAGCGGTATTGGTGCTACGAGTGCTCCGCACTAACTTTGCTGACATACGTTCGCCTTTCAAGTTTCTGAATTTTATTTTTACCCATCTGATTCGATACGCGATACATTAGTTGAAAAAGTTTAATTAGTTATTTTAGTTTGTATTAAAGGAATAGTTTATTTTCTTTTACAAATAAATTTAATGATAGGAACTATAAAGTATATTGTGTAATGAAGTGTTAAAGTGCGGTATACCGGCAAGGCCGGCGGTCAGTCCGCCATGCTGCTGGTGGAGGCGCCGCGTGAAGCCGCCGTGCCGCCGTGCGCGGCGCCCCTGGACCTCCCAATGTCCACGATCACGAAACTCAATTTCACGGACTACAGTGCCAAAGTGAACAAACCTTACACGGATACCGCAAACGAACAGAGAGACTCTAGGTTAAACTACGAACAGACCCTCGCGAGTGTCGCTAGAATTAACTTCGAACAATCAGTGACGAGCACCGGTAAACTGCAATATGATCAAAATCGACTTGCGTTTGATCCAACACTCGAGACCTTATGTGATACCTCATATATACTACCTACAGGTTAGTTAGTACTTTCATATGTTAACGAAACCTAAATAGATAGTTAATTATTATTACGCACACTAGTAAATTTAACTTCTCCAACATATTAAAGTATTAATCATAACTTATTATTTTATCCTTGTCGTGGTAATTTCAGTGTAATAATTTATTTAATTAAAGGCCGTAATCTACTTAAATGGATTCTGATAAGACCTAACTGTAGGTGCCTTTTCCTACATGTGGTATATTTGCCTGTTAATTATAATTCAAATAAAACGATCTACATTTTCATTATTTATAATAGTTGAAAGTTATATACCTCTTTAACTGTTATACTATAATTAAATATTTTCAATAACGGTTAGGTAACTTTTTAAACAAATACCTGACTCATTGACCAATAATATATTTTTTCACAAATACTTTCCCAAAACTTATTTCAACTATTGCATGTTATACATTGGAGATTTGCGTGTTAAGTCATATACTTTAAATAAAAATGAGAAGATAAAAAGAATTGTCTGGAAAATGGAGCAAAATATATGTAATATTTTATCTAAAGGATCAATTAGATAGATAAATCTAAGACTGAGTTAATATTATTTGAAGTAAAAAAAACATCTTATATTATTAAAAAATAAACGTTTAGTAATATCTATTTTTATCCAGATGAAAGTGGGTAAGGCCTGCATAAAAACTAGCATAAATATAAAAATGCTTCATAGTGGCTCTTTCTTATTGTTGTTTTTGTTATTTTTCTATTTCTTTATGTTAAAACAAAAAGACATAATAACTAAACTCCCAGATAGTAGTAGACATGGGGTATGAATAAAAAAGCACTTGTATTAATAAGCATCAGTTCATTCAGAAGTCTCAAGCTCGGCCGGAAGCACTTTCGCCGCCGCCATGTTGGATCCGGCGGGCGCGGGCGCACCTCGACTTCTTCCGCCGCGTGACGCGCATACAGCTTTGCAATTCATTCATTTTACAATTAAAATTTTCATACACATCTTACGTAATAAAAATGACATTCAATAAATATACGGATCATACTAAATGATTGCGTTTTCTATTAGAAAGAAAATTAAATGAATCTACGTTGAATAGATATAGGTACGTAAATATTAAAAATTGATAATATGTTTTGTAAATTTTCTTCAACAATTTTTGTCCTCTCTTTTTTACATGCAATATTTAAAACTTCTGTATATTCTCCAGGAGTATGCGTGCAGCTACGTGTGTCCTAACCTATATTTACCTACTCGCGTCATATACTTTTCTTAAGATACTCTCTCTCTTTAGACACCAGTATGTCATAATGATAGAATACAGATGACTGTATACTATTTTGCTACTGAAACCTGTTCAAATCTTGTTTGTGGGGACATATAAATGCTATCTAATTATTGAAATCCTTCCTTTAATTGTTATTCCATCTATATAATTAAATTGCAATTATAATTTTTATTACAAAGATTCTGTTTATAATTCAAACATCCTTTATCTCTATATCCAAATTAATTTACAAGATTTGTATGCAAATTTTACGACAGTATTTTGGACAATATAACTGTATCGAATTCCGCAAACATCGCAATTAAAATTAAAAAACGGATCAACCTTTAAATCTGTGTTTACATATTATTACTTAGTTTTGTTTGTATAATCGCGGTTATTAACATTACTTAAGGATTGTTCGAACGCAATGAAAGGATATAGCTGATGATTCAAAGAATTTAAAATTATGTATCAAAATATAATACCAAGATTACATGTTTTATAATAATGATTAACGATGCATATTGTTGCTACGAAAAATTCTCACGCGTAACACGTATAGTTCGTATGAATATTCATGTTATCGAATCAGATATAATCGACGTCGGCCGTGTCCAGTTGTCGCCGAACAGCCCGGGCCATAGGTAACGGTGCGGGTCATTGACATCGGTAATCGCTTCCTTCCTTTAGCAGTAGTCGCGAATCTCTGATCCAACGTGATTACAATACCAAGCACGGATAACCGCCATAGCGCAGCGGCCATGAACGCTGCTCGGCTATACCTACCATAGACCACAGAGCAGAGGCATTATTTTTTTTATTTTTAGTAATGCACTATGAATAAAACAATTTTAATGAGTTATGATGATGTGTACTGCTATTTGCATTGTATCTATACAGAAAACATGACTGTTTGATTCTTTGAAAACATTTTAAAAACGTCGGCTTGTAACTAGGGGTGTTCGAATTTGACATTTAAATCAAAACTCAATGTTTCAAAGTTTCTTATAACAATAATAATAGATTTTCCACCAACCAGATTAAAATATTCCTTGGGTACTTTAATTATGATTTTCAACAAAACATAACCGTCAATAGACTTTTTACACTAACCTCTTACAATACCATAGTCATAATAAACATGCTATAATTAGCGCAATAATTACTTTATTATAGCATTCAATTAAAAACAAACATTCTCTTTCTTTGTTCTTCCCCCTATACGTATTTATTTAAATAGGCATTAATTTGTAAACAATTGCATTTATACAGAAGTTTTCCTTCTAATATCATATTATTAATCACTATGGCTTTTACGCTCGCTTGAACAGAGCTTCCTATTGTTTTATTAAGACATAAACAAAAGTAAGTGATGTGTCTCTTATGAATATCAGTATAAATGCCAAATAAACGTATGATTCCGGTTGACAACTATAGAAACTGTATTAAAAAGACTAGCTCGTGAATACTATTTAAATAGTCCTTAGTTTTCCCTTAATCTGACGTTATTAGTACAAGCTGTTTTCTCTCGACTCTGCACGCTTAAATTATAGCCTATGCTAACACCATATAAATAAAATAAAATAAAAAAATAAAAATTGATTTTTTTTCCAAATACATACATGTTTTAATTTATTGAGGCAATCCCAGAGAGTAATTATTATACTTGTGTTGGGATGCCTCGCTCTTAGCCTAAAACCAAAATATATGATGTAGAATTTTTAAATTCTTATTCGATGCAAACAGACAAATCTTTCGTCTTTCTAATAATAGTATAAATATATTATTGTATTGTTTGTTAATATATAATAAGTAGATAAATGTTTATTTATGTATAAAGACAATTTTAATAGTGTGTTTTATTGTTGATGTAGGTAAGTATAATTGTATTCTTTTTATGCACTTCTGTATTTTTAATATCCGTGCGTTTTGTTCTCTACGAATTGTCTGGTAAACTGGTAGATAATGCCCTCGACATTGAGTCCGCAACGAAGTTTAAATAAATAAATCAGCCGTCTATACTTAATTAAACACGTTCATAATTAACCTTTAATTGACCTTGTTGTTCTTTCCTGCTAAGCATTTGTTAGCAAAGCTTAGTGACACCTGTCTAACGCAGATGTTCAATTGGACATGTGCAAGTATATTTTTATTACTATTTTTATTTATACACATCTAATGTCGGCAATTGAAACTTGTTACTAAACATTATTTATTCTATGGAAAACTTCTATAATAAACAAACTAGTATCTACAATTAACAGTTCAAATGGCAGGTTAGAAGGAGCTAACTGAATTTTAATTACAAGTTTTCATACATATTTCGACACAGTTATTAGATTTAAGTTCTGTATAAAATACTAATCGGTTCGCAATTCCAATGACATCTAAGGCTTCGTTCGGCTTATCTTAAAGTTTAGCTAAAAGATGATTTGCGATAGCACTCGTTAGAAGTATCCGAGTTAGTCGATTACCTGGCTCATTAGCTTTGAAACCGCATCATTTACTCTCCTCCTTAATGGTATACTGTTCTTCAAGCCGCCACAGGGTATCTACTAACAGGCAAATAACAGTATATAACCTGGCAGTATACTTAAGTATATTATGTACTCATTGTCGGTCGTTCTTATTTTTCGTTTTTATATTTTAATAGACCTGCGAACCACGAACGATGCCGTTACGATTTTGAATACGAACGTAAAATTAGAAGTGAGTGATAAAGTGCTGTTCACTTAAATGCAAAGGGATTTTAGCACATACAATCTAGTCTGAGGCAAGAATTCTGTTTTGAACAAAATATTGATATTCAATGCTTCTTTAGAATTATTTGTGCCAACTGAAAGATGCAAGTGCACAAAGAAGTCTACAGAACTGATCACCGTCGCTAAAATTCACATAGGACCACTCCTCTATTCTAGTAAAAGCTCGAAAATCTTATACTTTTATCTATGGCGCGATTGTCTCCAGCCGACGACGTCACGTCGCGCCGTTCATTCATAAATCCATATCCTGCCTTCCGGCCGTGCCCAATGCCTGCAGTCATTTAAAGTCGTTAATCGTACCCTTTCTAAGGATTGGTGAGCATTACATGAAATTGATCTCAAGAACAGAAATTTTGAATACTGTTTTCTTATTACTTAAACATTGCATATTACATTAAGATACGATTTCATTTTTTTAATTAACGTTAAGTAAAAAAATAATTCAAGTCTACAGATGTATTCTTAAGCATTTACAAAGCAAATCGCCTAGATAAATCCTAATAAAACTATTTACATCTTTAAAGTTTTCAATGCAATAAATGCCGACGACATAAAATCGGTGACATGTTCTTATGTGAAGTGACGTCACAGCAGTGGATCACGTACCGCCATTGATGCGCCCGCGCCGCTTCCGCCGTCGTCGTAACGCCGCTACATCCTGTCTGACGTTTCATATCTCTTTCCTCCATGTCTTTCTGTAATCATATTATGTCAGAGGACAATTACTCATCTCCATACTAAGCACTCCGTTTTGGATAACACCAATTCATTTTATAATAATAAAAGTAATTGTTTGGTTGATGTCTTCAACTTCATTTCTTTATTATAAGTCTTTACTAACCAATCGCAAAACGGTTTACTTAAAAAAGACATTACATAATTTTATCTTTGTAATCCTACACCGACCGACAAAGCGGGCGGCTTAAAAGTATTGCATAATGTAATAACTTATAAAGCCGACAGAAATGTCATGGTAATAATAA